GGTCTTATATGAATAGATATTCACAAAGCCTTCAACTGGAAGCCTGATAAAATTAAGGTAAAGGAATTGTGAAAGGAGTTGGCTAAAGAAAGTGGAAGTGGTCAACATGTTTCTTATGAGTGGGATGTAAACAGCAGTGCTTTCCAGTTCGTAAACTGGATGCTGCATTTGACAACATCACCTAAATTCATATACTGTCTTAATTCAAAAATAATTAAACTTTTAATTGTTTATTAAACATTCCAGTGAGCTACACAGGAGAATAATTAGAAAGAAAATGCACAATGAACCGAGGAATGGTATTTAAGGACAAATACCTAATCAAGGGGGTATGTTTCAAGCAGAATCTTAATTGAAGACAAGGGGAGAGGCAAAGCAGTTTGTGAAGGGGAATCAGGACATTCAGGCCTAGGTATCAAAAAGAAAAGTGGGCAATTAAAGGTCAGAGAAAGTGGGAGTTGCTAAGAGGTGGGACATAGAAAAAAAGGTAAGAGCTTTGATGACTGGAAGACGCAGAGATACAGAAAGGCAAAGTTCTGGCGAGATTTAAACATGGAGTGGGATTTTAAAATCATCATATTAGTGGACCAGGAGTCAATGAGCACTGGGATGATGGGAAAACAAGGCATGGTGTGCCTAACAGCAGTTAAAAACAGTATCTAAAAATAGTTTATGACTGTGATACTTATAGGACATTGAGACCGTAAAAAAAGTGTTTCACAAATGCAAGTTCTCTCTCAAATGCAGCATACAACTTGTAGATGTCTATGGGAGGCACAATCTCAATTTATTATCATTGAAAACAGAGATGTGTTTAATTTTGATCAATTTCAAGGAATAGGGCAGGTATAATACATTGAAAAGATAGATAATTGATAAAAATGCAGAGAACACACAGCAATACATTGTGAAAGAACAAGGGCAGAACAAATAAACAAATGCTAACACTTCTAAAGAATACAAATTTAAAGACACACACACATCTGCATCCCTAAAACAGCAACCTTCGAAAGCTCTTAGCAAGAAGCATGTAGAATCCTAGGATTTAAAAATGGTAGTAGGCTACAAAAGCAAGCAGAAAATGCTAAAACTATAGAAATGAAGCCAGTTAGAATTGTCGATTTACCCTTTCTAAAGTGAGCAGCCAAAAGCTGTCAAAGCCACAGAGGGATAAGAACATTACAAAACAGAACAGGAGAAAGTCTGCCCCACCATTCAACATAATCATGATGACCTTAGGTTTCAACTTCACTTTCTTGCCCACACCTGCAGTACCAAACAATTGCCCACCTCTTCTATTAAATATATTCAACCATGATACACCTATATCCCTCTGGAGTATGAATTCCAAAGATTCACAATCTGTTAAATGAGGAACTTTCTCATCTCAGTGCTAGATGATTGCCCTGTTTTGGAACTGTGACCCATGTTCTAGATTTCACAGCTGGGGGAGACAACCCCTCATTGCCCATCTGATTCAACCCCTTAAAAATCTTATATGTTTCAATTTGATCACAGAGAACACAAGTTCCAATTTCCTCAGCCTCTCAAAAGTAGAATGGTTCCTGAGGTGAGTGCAATCTAGTGAACATCCACTCTTCTGTCTCTAATGCAAGTCTATCCTTTCTTCTATATGGAGATCAAACCAGCACCCAATATTTCAGACATGGTCTCACCAAAGCCCTGTTCAATTGTAACAAGGGATCTTTATTCCTGTAGTCCAATCCTCTTCCATTACAGGCCAACATGCTATTTATTTTCTTAATTGCTTGCTGTCCCGCATTCCAAGATTTTATGTTCCCTGCATGGGTACACCAATGTCTCTCAGAATATCAACTCTCAAGTTCTGCACCTATTGATAAAGAGTTAATTTTCTATTCTTATCACCAAAGTGAATAAGCTCACTTCACCATATCATCACTGACAACTATCCTTCAATTTGGGGATGTCATCTATCAATCAGTGTTGCGAGTTTCTGTTACAGGTCTTCATGTAATTGAACTGGCCAACTGTCGACCTGCAGATCTCTGACCACATGCAACAGGATGTCCTAGGAGGCAAGGGAATCCAGAGTACAGAAATTGCTTCCACTAACATTCTCTGCAGCTGTTCTGCCTCGTGATTAAGGCTTTTGGGCTCAAAGCTTGATGGATCAGCTGGCGTCATTTTGCAAGACTGATAATGAAGTAGTCCCCATCATGAATATCAATGCTGCCACACTTCAAGGAGAACTTTACAATAGCCCTGATTCATATTGTTTTTCCTCCCTTGGAACGCTGGCCATTCAAGGGTTGAGAACACAGGATCTGGCCAGGAAGACAGTTTTCAGACAACTGGATAGTGTCCAGTCCACAACATACTCCTTCTGTCACCTTGCTGCTCACTCAATTAACTTGTCTGCCTCACAGCTTCCGTGATGTGGAGATGCCAGTGTAGGCCTGGGATAGACAAGGTCAGAAATCACACAACACCAGGTTATAGTCCAACAGGTTTATTTGATAACACAAGCTTTTGGAATCTTACTACCTCTCTCACTAACATCTGAAGAAGGAGTAAGACTCCAAAAGCTTGTGTTTTCAAATAAACCTGTTGGACTATAACCTGGTGTCGTGTGATTTCTGACCTTCGTAGCTTGCATTCACACATAGCTCTGACTGATGATACAACCTAGATACATTACTCCCTGTGTTGTCATCCAAGTCATGAATATAGATTGGAAATAGCCAAGATCCTAGCACTGATCTTTGCACCACTCCACTAGTCATAGTCTGTAAACTTAAAATGTCGATTTACTCCCATGCTCTGCTTACAGTCTGCTACTGATTTTAAAAAAAACTGAGTAATTGGAAACAAACAGAAATAGTCAATGAATATCTTCTGGAAGGAAAGCTTGTACTGCAGTTCCCCATGGTTCGGTATTGGGACCCTTGCTTTTCCAGATATGCATTAGTGATCTTGACTTTGGTGTGCAGGGGATAATTTAAAACTTGTGGATGATACAAAACTTGGAAGCATTTTAAAATGTGAGGAACGGTGATAAATCATAGACAGATTCATGGATGAATAGATGGCAGATGATGCATTTTTATATGAAGAATATAGACACACAATGGGTATAACTCTAAAAGATATGCAGAAGCAGAGGGACCCGATTGTTAATGTGGGCATATAATTAACACTGAAGATCAGGTGGACAGACCATTACTAAAGCGTACAGTATCCTGAGTTTTATAGCAGGGGCGCAGAGTACAAGGGTAAGGAGATGATGCTGAATTTGTATAAAGACACACAAAGCTGGAGTAAGTTCTGGGTGTGACATTGGAGAAAGTGTACACGAGATTTACGAGGATGGTTCCAAGGATGAGACTTCAGTTACAAGGAAAGATTAGACAGCTTGGGAATGTTCCCCTTGGAGGGAATAAAGATAAAAGGTCACATAGAAGTTTTCAAAATTGTGAGGGGTGCTGAATATAGTAGATAAGGAGTAAGTGTTTCCACTCGAAAGAATCAAGAATACAAGGGTACGGATTTAAGGTGAATGGCAAGATCAGAAAATGTGTTGTGAGAAAAAAAAAATTTTCATGCAATGAGCTGGTCAGTCAGAATACACTGCCTGGAAGTGTGTTGGAGCCAGGTTCAATGAGGTATTCAAGAGCACACTAGATGATTATTTAAGTTCTGAGGAAGGGTCACCAGACCCAAAATGTTAACTCTGTTTTCTCCTTCACAGATGCTGCCAGACCTGTTGAGCTTTTCCAGCAACTTTGTTTTTGTTCCTTAAATTTACACATAGTTTTGGAGTGGTAAATAGAAGTAAATTATTTCAAATGTTCAATGAGTTAATGGGCATGGATTTAAGATAATTTACACAGTTGATGTAAGCAGACTATGCATATCTACATTTATAAAAGAAAGTGGATAAAGATTTTAATTAAAACTTGAGAGGGTACAGGGATAAGTGGATAAATCTTTCATAAAGTCCAAGATGGTCAAAATCACCTGTCATCTAGTAGGATTCAGAGTACAGTAAAAAAAAATCAAAAACAAGACCACTCGCGCATCATTATGAGATCAAACTCACTGTGGACTTTTTGTATATTTTAATAATGCACATTTTATTCTCTTTAAAAAAATTACGTTTACCTTTGCCAAGCGTTAAGTTAAAACGCATGACAGAAATCCAATTCTAGTACAACGCTCCTTTCTCTCTCACATACACGCAGTAACACACGTTTGTATCTAAAAACCGAAAGAACTGTGGATGCTGTAAATCAGGAACAAAAACAAAAGTTGCTGAAAAAGCTCACCTGGGATCTGAGGAAGGGTCAGCGGACCCGAAATGTTAACTGATTTTTTTTCTTCACAGATGCTACCAGACCTGCTGAACTTTTCCAGCAACTTCTGTTTTTGTTCGCGACACTTTTGCATCTGTTTTCTTTCACTGTCGGCTTTGTCAAACCATCCAACCTAGTTTACTTCCTCCAGTAATTCAGTGAAGTGCGAACAATTACCCCGACTTCTCTCATCTTGAGTGCTGCAAGTTAAAATCCGAGTGGGAAAGTACTACAGAGACTTTACGTCCATTCGAAGCTGAACCACGGGAACAGCTGATAGTGGTAACCCCACGCAGTCCTGATTTACTGTATTTATGAAAACAGCAAAGTATCGCCTTTATGGTTATATTTAAGTTAATGGGGGGGGGGGGGGGGGGGAAGGTGGAGGGAAGAGAACGAAAGACGGAAACTTTCCAAACACGAGGTGAACCCACAGCACAGCAAAGCTGGCAGCTAGAACATGGCCCGGTTTACAGCAGGTCACCCTTCCAACTTCAACCTGGGGCACTCCTCGTAGCCGAGTCCCAGGCATGGATGAGGCCTGAATAGAGATAGGGTGGCCACAAGCAACATCAAACTCCTCAGACCTTTGTAAAGCGCCGCTTCAAAAGATGAAAAACTTTCTTTTTAAAAAAAAGGAAGAAAAAACGTGAAACAATAACTTACCGGGTTCGCCTGCGGAATACATCCTCGTTTAAAGGGGAGGGAAGCAGTTGGCTAAGAGATGGAGAGTTTCCCTTCCCCCCTCCCCCGTGTTTATGTAAAATTATAGTACAAACAGGAACAAAAGAGCACTCATGAGGAGGAAACAGGAAGAAAAACATTAATAATTCCCGATGGAGAGACGGGGGACATACGAGGAAGGATAGTGAAACGGGGACAGAAAACCCCGGGCCAGACACTTGACGGACGGTCCCACGCGCAAGCGCAGGAGGCGGTCCCCAGCGCGCCGCCGTACGCCCTAACGTCACGCCTTCCCCCCACCCCTTAGTCACCGCAAACGCCTCCTCGCGCCTCCCGCCTCCCGCCTCCCGCGCGCGCGCCCGCCATTCGAACCAGCGGAGGGCGCCAACGTGTGGCGCGCATGCGCCCTCCCCAGGTCGGACCTCCAGTGCAGTGCGGGCGGTGGCGCGTGCTCCGGGCGGGCATTCCATCCAGGGCGCCGCTCGTTGTGCCTGTGCGTTTTTGCAGTATGACAGTAACTGGGAGAGTGAATGTGAATGTGAGTGTACGTGTAGAGAAACAGAGAGCTGTGGAGGCAGAATCTCTGTGTACGTTGAAGGCTGAGATGGGCAGATTCCTGATCAGGAGGGGAATCAAGGATTACGGGAAACAGCAAGAAAGTGTTTGTGAGGAATGTCTGATCAGGCAAAGGTCCTGTGAAATGGCAAAGCAGGCTGGAGGGGCTGTTTGGTTTTAAACACCTTTTGCCACTGCAGAATATGCCTTTTTTTGACATCAGTTAAAAACTTCTGATGAAGTTTGTGACCGCTTCGCAGAACATCTACCTTCTGCTCAGGAAAAAGACCCTGAACTACTTGTTGTCTGCCACTTTAAAGCACCAGCCTATTCCCTGGCCAACATCTCTTGTCTCTGGCTTGCAGGTGTGTTCCAGCGAAGCTCAACGCAGGCACGAAGAACAACACCTCATTTTCCGCTTGGGGACCCCGCAGCCCTCTGGACTCAATATCAAATTCAATAATTTTAGGACCTAAACTCTCCCATGTCCCAGACCCCTACCCCCAGACACCAGACCTTGTTACCACATAGCCTGCCATCACACACCGCCTGTTATTAGTCATTAATAGTCCCCATTAACAACTGTTCACCCTCCCAGCCTGATCATTATCAACTCTTTGACTGTCCAACTGCACCTCTCTCTTTGGGCTCTATCCTGTTGTTTACTCCCTACCCCATCCCCCTCCTCTTTTTTTCTGCATATAAACTGCTCTTTTCCCAGCCACCATCAGTTCTGAGGAAGGGTCACCGGACCCGAAACGTTAACTCTGTTTTTTCCTTCACAGATGCTGCCAGATCTGCTGAGCTTTTCCAGCAACTTTGTTTTTGTTCCTGATTCACAGCATTTGCAGTTCTTTCAGTTTTTAAAAACTTCTGATTTTTTTTTTAATTGCACCCAGGTGCGATTCCAGCCCCGGGCGACTGTCTGTTTGGAGTTTGCACATTCTCCCCGTGTTTGCGTGGGTTTCCTCCAGGTGTTCCAGTTTCATCCCACAGTCCAAAGATGTGCAGGCTAGATGGATTGGCCACGGTAAATTGCTCATAGTGTCCAGGGTAAGAAACACAGGGAAAGGGTAAGGGGTGAGTCTGGGTGGGATTCTCTGTGGAGGGTCGGTGTGGACTTGATGTGACGAATGGTCTTCTTCCACACTTTAGGGATTCTCTGATTCTAAAAGATCTGTGAAGTCTTTGCAGAGAAAATACATATTGGAATTTGACCTTCCTCAGAGCTTGCCTACAGTTGCAAAACCAAGGCATTTTCTACTCAAAGCAGATAACTATTTACATACGTTTTGAGGCAAGGAGAGGATCTGATAACTGAGCCATTTAATTTGGAAAAATGCAAAGTATTACACTTTGGTGAAGCAAACAAAGACAAACTTATGCAATTAAAAGTAGGGCCTTAAGCAGTGTTGTAGAATGGAGAAACATAGGGGTTCAGATACATAATTCTTTGAAGTTTGCATCGCATATAGATAAAGTGGTTAAGAAGGCATGTATCACATTTGCCTCATTGCTCAGACCTTTGAATATAGTAGTCAGATGTTATGTTGAGGTTACCCAGGGATTGGTGAAGCCTCTTCTGGAGTACTGTGTCCAGTTCTGCTCATCCTATTATAGGAAGGATATTATTAAACTGGAAAAGGTTCAGAAGAGATCTACCACAATGTTGCCGGGAATGGAGGGTTTGAGTTATAAGGAGAGGCCGGACAGGCTGGGATTTTTTTCACTGGAGTAGGAAGTTGAGAGGTGAACTTAGAGGTTTATAAAATAATGAGGGATATAGATAAGGTCAATGGCAGGTTTTTTTTCCCTAGGGTGGAGGATTTCAAGACTAGGGACCGTATTATTTAGGTGAGAGGAAAAAGATTTTTAAAAGACATGAGGCAAATTATTTACACAGAAAGTGGTTCATGTGTAGAATGAACATCCAGAGGAAGCGGTGGATTCGGCTACAGTTTAAAAGACATTTGTATAAGTACATGAATAAGAAGTGTATTGAGGAATATGGGCCAAGAGCAGGCAAAAGGGACAAGCTTAGTTTGGGATTATGGTCAGCTTGGACTGAAGGATCTGTTTCTGTGCTGTATTACTCTATGACTCTAGATCCTTGTTGTACTTTAGCAGAAAGACCTTAGATGGTGCTCTTTCCTCACTGCTTTTTGGCAGCAGCTGCTCCAACCTTTAGTGAGTCCCTCAGCATGTACTTCTGGACCTTGGAAAGTGCCAGCCTGTAACACTCTTTTGAGATCAACTCTTTACACTGGAAGGCTGATGGGTTTCAGGCAGACCAAAGAACGTCTTTCACAGAGTTGATGGTCTTCCAGATGCAGTCAATATTTGTCTCAGTGCCCGTACAGCACAGAATTCCGCTACCCCCGCAGCTGCCTCAAGGACAGCGGTGGTGTCGGAGAGAGTCTGGGTGAAAATGAAGAATTTGACGGGCAGTGCCCTTCTTGCCAGCAGCCAAGTTACAGTTTTGTGCGTGTTGCCAAGTTCTGGTGATGAGGCACTCGGCGAAATAGGTTTGACAGTCTGCTCAGGGAAACCACACAGTAATGAGGTCAGGCCCATCCTTTGTAACACCAGGGGCAGTTTGGACCTCAGTATGTAGTAACACCTGGTGTTTGTGTACTGAGGGTCTATGCACAGTTTGATGCAGAGCACATAAAGATAGCCATCAGGATTAGGTTGGCATTGGGTATGTCCTTCTGCCAATCTAGAGCTTCGTACATGGTGTCTCTGAACATGATCCATCTTTGATCTCCAGAGGAAGTGGCTCGGGTGACTGCAGTGGCCAAGGCTCGGAGAATGGGCCAGACCTGTGCCACGTGCTGCAACACCAAAATTACCTCGCACCTCATGACCAGGCTTTTACCTCCAGAAAGAGAGAGAGACTGTTGCTCCCGTCTGCCTAGTTTCTGCTTGTCCATGGCAATATGCTCCTCCCAAGTTTTTGCACACGCCGTGGCCTCTCTGAATGATATTCCCAGCACCTTCAGGTAATCTGGCATGATGGTAAAGCGGATAAAGATCGGTTGATCCAGTTCCCAAAGAACATGGCCTCACTCTTGCCTTGATTTACTTTGGCTCCTGATGCCAGTACAAATTCATCCATGTTCAGGGAGGTTTTCTGCTGCCTAGAATAGTCACCCCTCCCAGGCTTGCAACCATCTTGATGGATTCGGCAAAAGGCTCTGTGCAACACACAAAAAAGGCAGGAGAGAGCGAGCAGCCCTGCCCAACTCCAGATATGATCAGGAAATTTTTTGATTCCCACCCATCAATTGAGACTGCGCTATTGATATTAAAAGAAAAAAGAACAGAACAGCACAGGAAAGGCCCTTCAGTCTACCAACACACGAAGCCTTTCTAAACTAAAAACCATTGCCTCTATGCAGTCATATCCCACTGTCAAGATACTTCTTAAACATTGCTATCATATCTGTTTCTATCACCTCCATTCCAGGAACTTCCCACCTTCCGTTTAAAAAAACTTGCCCCTCACATCTCCTTTAAACCTTCCCCCTTTTACCTTAAACATATGTTCTCTAGTAACTGACATTTCTACCCTGGAAAAAAGACTCTGACTATGCATTCTATCCACGCCTGTTATAATTTTGTTAACTTCTATCAGGTCGTCCTTCAAGTGAAAACAAACCAATTTTGTCAAATCTCTCCTCGTAGTACCCTCCAAATCAGGCAACATCCTGGTAAAACTTTTCCATACCCTCTCCAAAGCCTTTGAATTTGATGTAGAACAGTTGGATCCAATTGTGGATTTCTTCCCCAAAGCCCATTTTGGAGAGGACATTCCTGATGTCGGTGTGCGATATCCGGTCAAAGGCTTTCTCCTGGTCCATGCTGATAAGGCAGTTTTTCTTTATTTCAAAAATATATTTTCATAAAGGATATCTTTATATATATAGAGTCACAAACACAGTTTGGTTCTGTACAGTAACATTTTGAGGAAACAAACAAACATTGGCGTTTGACTGTATCCAAACAAACCAAAGACATCTCTTAAACATACAAGACCACATTTACATACATTGCGGTATCAGGAGGGTCAGATAACTGAATGGACCCCCACTTACCTTCAGCAGGAAGACCTCAGAACAATGGTCTTTCCCCACTGTGCTTTGGCGGCAGCTACACCAGGCTCCAGTGCGGCCCTTAGCACATAGTCCTGGACCTTGGAACATGCCAGCCTGCAACACTTGGTCGAGGTCAACTCCTTGTTCTGGAAGACCAACAAGTTTCGGGCAGACCAAAGAGCGTCTTTTACCGTGTTGATGATCTGCCAGGCGCAGTTAATGTTTGCCTCGATGTGCATCGTGGGGAACAGATCACAGAGCACAGACCTGCTGTGGACAAACCCTGACAAAAACCACAGCATCTTTCTCTGGACACCCTTCGCAAAGGCACATTCCAGCAGGGGATGTGTGACAGTTTGAGCACCTTCTCTCCCCCACCCGCCACCCTCCCCCACAGCTGCTTCGAGGGCAGCATGCAGTGACATCAGCCAACCTGGCTTACATGAAGGATATGATGGACAGTGCCCTTCTCACCATCAGCCAAGGAATTTCTTGGTGCTTGTTGGAAAGGTGATGAGGTATTCTGCCAAATGACTTTGACAGTCTGCTCAGGAAACCATGCGATAGGATGCACCCTCTCTTTTTTTCCTCAGGTGTCAAGGACGCTACATGCTGACCACTTCCTAATGGACTTGTGGTCAAAGG